CTATAGTTATAAACTACTTTAGATAAATCAACAAATGCGACGGCAATAGGTGTCGCTGTTGACAACTCCGTACGCAATAAAAATTTACTAAAAAAATAACTGTTACAAGTTTAGTTATGGAAATTTGCTAACAATGTATCAACTACACAAAAACAGTAAAAAAAGTATAGAATAAAGCATATAAGTTTTAAATAAAGCAAAATTTCGGCAATTTTTATAGAAAATCTTAGTCCAATATCTTATAGTTAGGTTTAGGATATGGTATTTCACAGTGAAATCTATCAGAAACGATGGTAATTACAACTCCTTAAATCATCTAGGTCGACTTACCCGGTAACCCTGTGTATACATGACATATGACGTAAGTTTATGACTAATATACAGAAGTTACTAATATTGACAAAAGAAATACATGTGTTGTTGTTAGTTGTATAGTTAGTAAGCTTAGGAACTGTCAACTTTACAGCACGCTGCGATTGTAGTGGTATAGCCATGGCAGCTTCTCCTACTACGATGTGTCAATCAGTAGATTGACATGGGTATTCACCGGCAGACATACACATACATGGGCCGGGAACTACCGTCTTAGTGCCACTGAACTTCACAATTAATTGGAGTGTTCTGCATAGACGCAAGGGTAAAGCACCCTCGTTAGGCTTTTGATGTCCATGGTTCAAAGTGAGAGGGTGATTCCACCGTCTCGTTTTCGTTCCATCCGTTTTTTCTGTCTATAGTTCAAAGTAAGAGTGGGATTCTGCAGTCTCGTTTGGTTTCGTCCGTTCGGTCTTGGAACGGGAGAGGACAAACAGTCTTCGATACCACAGTAGATGCGCCGAGCACCGAAGGGCGCGAACTGATCGGTGTCCGACCTCCATTAGCACGGGACGTGACGCTTTGCTCTGGTTATAGGGGTTAGTCTCCTTATACAACACGGTTTGCACGGTTTGGTTGTCTGCTTATGAGGGGGCTAAGTCTGTAGGGATTCTTGTTGGCTTATTAGAGTATCCTCGGTCGCCTGCAATAGAGTAATTTGAGACGTAACACCGTTTTATTTTAATCGGTTTATTCATAAATCTTTACCTCAGAAGAAAAATCGTGTCAGTTTTTACTAAACTTTAAAAGATAAAATCATATTTTTGTCGTAAAAAACTTAGCTCCAAGTATATTTTTAACAGAATTGAAAAAACAAAAAAATATTGCATAATGTTTTACTTATTTTTGTCTTATTAGTTCTTCGGAACTAAATAATCCATAAGTGAGCTAAGCCGTTACGCTCAGTGAATATTTATAAATGCGTACGTTAATAGAAAAAGTTCACCCTCCAGCGTTCCAGAAATGAGGCGACCTGTTCAAACCTACACTTGACACTTCTACAGAAAGTTAATTTAACTTAATGTAGTTTTTAAAATTATTGTACAACACCAACTTCCAATAAGGCCTTCATCTCCTACATCTTCGATTATTAAATATGAACATCGAATATCCGGCTCCTGAAATATTAGCGTTCGATAGTAAGGGCCTTATTCCGGTCAACAAGAAATGTTTTACTTTATGTAGGTAACACAAAACAGGTTTCATATATTAGATTTTATAAATATCTCAAAAAATAATTACATCTACATCTAACGTTTAAAACTTCAGTGTTTTTGGATCGTTAAATAAATGAAATTACACTCGGCTGAGTTAGGGCGGCGGGAGGGCGCGAGCCACGCGGCGCTTTAAGTAGTTCATAGCACATAAGGTATGGGTCAAGTATTAGATCAAACATTAATATGTTATGCGAATCCGGCCGCTTCGAACTGCGATCTCGGCCCAACTCAGGCTCCCTTGTCCTATCTTTGTTCTTACCTCTAGGTGCGGATAACGGATCCCATTCCCTTAACCCTCTTCCTGTTTCGTCTAAAAACTAGCCATCACCCTTTGTAACATAACAGCGTAACAACTTTGACCACCCCAAAAAAAGGACGGAACAACTGTTTTTAGATAGTAGTACTGTCTTTCAATGTACCGTCAGGTGAAAACATTTAGTTTGTAGGAAGTTAAATATTTTTCATTGTCCACAATAGGTCTAAACCTCACGGATGAATAAAAAAAAGGGAAAAATTATAAGAGTGTTGAATCTTATTTTAATCTACAAAAATATACTCTAGGAAAATACAATGATGTAAGTATGGGTTGAAAATAATTAAATGTCTTGCGTCACGTCAGCATTTGGCCTCAGACTAAGCAAAGCTTGTACTATTGAATCTAGATTGTCCAAATGAATACCTATATACTTTTTTTAAATAGGAAAAGCAGTGAAAACATTTTGACCGATCCGGGAATCAAACCTGAGACGCATACGCTACCACTGCGCCATTGCAGTCATCGCCTATCCATGAATTGTACTCTTGTAGTTGTACCGTATTCTACTGTCGGAGAATACTGCCGACATTCAAACTATTTTTTTGCTGACAAAGAAAGCTATTCGAGTAACTTATAATTTAGGCAATCGTTGTTTATAGAGGCAGAAATATAAAGAAATATACGTAATGACAGTGGCGTATGTATGAAAATGTAGTATTTGTTCACAAAAACAAAGATTGCTTCTTAAAAGACATGCGTCAACACCAGAAATATAAATTAACTTGTTGTATCTGCCTCTAGGCTTCCAAAGATAAACAGGTCATTTCGAGGTGAATGTGTCTGATTTTTTAATAAAATCCCAAATAGTGTACAAGACTTAAGTAGAAACCAATTTAAATCTACAATAAAACGTTAACTATGTCAGAAAACCTATTACTCAATTATGGATTACATAGAAGACAAGAATCATCAACAGCCTTTAATAGTCCACTGCTGGACATAGGCCTCTCCTTGAAGACAAGAATGCCTGATATTAATTTAGTACTGGCTATTTCGTGGTGGAAATGTGATGTGGGCTGGTGTGTTTTTTTTTCTGTTTCACTTTGTTTTTTATTCGATCTTTTTTTTAAATATTGTTTCTCTTCATTGTCTTTCTACCTTTAGTTCCTAATAAAAGACGTACAATAACTGGCATACATCGAACACATCGAAACATGTATTTAATGATGCCATTGTATCTATCTGTTAATTTAAAAAAGAGTTGCCGTGAGTTTGTTTGCCCTTTTTTCTCATAAGACTCAACCCCTTGGAAACAGGCGGTTGTAGATCGGCACAGACATATAATAGATTTACGATACGTATATATTTATGTTGCTAAATATTTGACAAAACAGAGATTGTTGCTATTGTGCGTGTTGATCGATGACTTTAGAGTCTACATAAGAGACGATTTCAAGCAATTTTTTTTTCTTTATGAAATTAATATATTTTAAGTTTCAATTTACTCCTACAAAAATCACACAATACGGCTAAAATTAAAAGCCCTTAAATGATCCATTTAAATTTTATCGCTTTTGGAATATCACTAATTCATTATACATCATCATCATCATCATCATCAACAGCCTATAAGAGTCCACTGCTGGACATAGGCCTCTCCTTAGAAAGGAGGTTTTTTTTTTTTTGATTCATTATACATTACTACAGAATAAGAAGTTACTAGTAAGAATTACATACAATACATGGTATGCACATATTTCGGGGAGTTTTGACTTGACTTCATAAACTAGACAAAATGGCAAAGCTAAATTATAATTTATAATTTGAACACACTTTCATCATATTCAAATCGTCAAAACTAAACTAAAAAAAGGCCAATAGTTGGGCGTTATTTTTCTTCTGCTTTGCAGCTTTGACTGTCCATCTAGACATGTAAACAATCTATGTTTGTCGGTGATCAGGGCCATCCAAGCTGATTTTTCTCACGTTGTACTTTGCGGACATGTGTAGCAATTCTAATGACTGTAGGGAGGCGGGGGGTACATATTCACATATATGTATCCTGAGGCATCCTGAGGGATGGAGGCAGGTGGGGTAATCTTATATAAATTAAAACTATCAGTGGTTGTTTATTACTAAATCTACCTTTTACTCTATCTCCGCATTAAGTGTATTTTTTTATTTACTAACATTATGCACTTTTGTACATCGGCGGACTAAATACCCGGCGCGTTCCCTGTCAGTCAACCTTTGGGTGGTTTAGCTAATCTTGTAAGGTGCACAGAGATTACAAAAGTATGTAATCAATGAAGATATGTATTTTCAAATCAATTTAAACTAAAAATTATAAACATTTACAAACGTATCTTAATATTCATTATTATTCTTGTATTATTCCTCTGATAACACACGCACCTTGCGTACTTTATCAGCGGACTAGCAGTAGAATGAACTGAACCACATTAGCTGTTAAAAATATTTCATTATACTAGATCCGTTAATATGTAACGATCAATTTGCACCGATACAAGTGGGTTTGGTTTTATTTGAAATTTTAAAACGTTTACCTGACCTTGGGCATTACTTAGTTTATTTTACTAAACGCAACTAATTAATAAACTAACTATCTGAGTTTTAAAAACTCTTGTTTTTCTATAAAAACTCCTCGAAGTACAGATAAACATTATTTCTTGCACCCATGCAAACCAAAACAAGTAACGGCACTTAAATTTCACAAACCAAATCCAATATAATTTTTAAATGTTGTATTACGTTTTGTAAATTAATACACATTTTTGATAAAAGTATTTAGCAACATAATTATGTTTATCAGTATAATCTAATTGGTTAAAAGCACAACTGTTTACACATGATCAAATACAAACTACCGCAGAGCGTGCATTGGTTGCGTGCCGCCGCGACAGAGGCCCACGAACTTGCACAACTTTGTACATAATTTTGCGTGCCAATAGCTCCTTTGTATTATTTCATTTTATTAGTTATTTCGGTAATGGAAGCTTAAAATTCTATATGGCATATTATGGCATAATAAAAAAATACCTCTACTGAAATTTATGTGGTAGAAAACTACATATTTTTAGTTTGAAAGTTGAAATTTGACACATAACAGATAAAGTTATATTAGGGTGCCAGACCTGGTGGATAATATTTTGTGAACAGTTGGGAGTGTGGACTGGCTGCAGCCGGCGCCGACGGGCACCGCTACTAAAGCACAACTTCACATGTCACACAAGAAGCACGGCACACTGATACACATGGCGCACAACATTAATCACTGGTGTGGTGCGTCGTGACGTGACGACGTGACGGCGCGTACACTCGCGTGGAAAGCTTGACTTGATACTCGATGCGAGCGACACGCTGTATTCGGTGGCGGGCGCGCGGCGACTGTACCGAGCGCCGAGCACAGCGCGCGCCCGAACTCTCCGGTGTCGAGAGAAACGGGCACGTCTACTCCAGGAGCCGACCTTCTTTATTCACACTACTTAGCAACATCCTACCAAGTAATTTCACACCTTATGTTCTTATCTGCAGTGGCCTAGACCCGTAGTAGCGTGTCCAGCTAAGTTCAAGAAAAGACGGATATAATTGCAATTGTCGTGATCAAGATCTAACCAACATCTGGATGATATAGAAACTTGAAATTTGGAAAATTGGACTTACATAATACGCCAAATACCTATTACCGCATCTAATTTGATGTTTCTCGAGCTCAGTTAAATCATGTACAAATCAATAATAAACGTCATTTGGTGAATGTATTTGCAACAGCTGTTTAGTCAAAAACATCGTTGCGTCAAGGTCCACAGCCACTAACCTATCAACGTTTACGGAATCGCTGGTGCAGGCTATGGATGTAAATAAACAGTATGACGTCATTTATACTGATTTTAGCAAGGCATTCGACAAGATCTCACATAAGATACTGTTACATAAACTGTCAGCTTATGGTATCACGGGACCCTTGCTCGAATGGATAAAATCGTACCTGACGGGGAGAGAATTCTTTGTTGTTGTGAACGGTTTTCAATCTACAGGTCGTGGCATAACTTCTGGAGCCCCTCAAGGTTCACATCTGGCTCCCATACTTTTTAACTTATTTATTAACGACATCCCTAACTGTTTTCAATTTTCTGAGTGTTTTCTCTACGCCGATGACTTAAAGTTTGCCAGAAGAATTGATTGCCCTAGTGATACCGAACTACTGCAAGACGATCTAAACAGACTCATTAATTGGTGTAGGTATAACAAAATGCTACTAAACACTGAAAAATGTTAACACCTAAAATTCACTAGGAGAGCTCACCCCTTTAAGTCAGAATACTTTATTAATAACCTAAAGATACAGGAAGTGAAAACTATTAAAGATCTTGGCGTTCTTTTCGATAGTAAAGTTACTTTTGTACCTCAGATCGATAATATAGTTAAAAGAGCTTCTAAAATGTTAGGCTTTGTTATGAGGAATACTAGAGAGTTCAAAAGCAACACAAAAATTATGTTATACAATAGTCTCGTGAGGAGTATCTTGGAATACTGTTGTGTTGTGTGGAGACCCCACTATGCCGTGCACACGTTACGCATAGAGCGCGTTCAAAAGCGCTTTCTGTCATACCTTACATTATCTTCAGGCAAAGGTAAACATCTGACCACGTATAGCAACCGATTGCAGTATTTTAGGATGCACCCACTGTCGGTGCGCAGAGACGTGTTTGATGCATTATATTTATTTAAAATCGTGAGAAACCTAATCGATTGTCCAGATTTACTGAGTCTTATAAGGTTCAGGGCTCCGTCTAGATATCCTCGAAATAGTATTACACCGCTGTGTCCACCATTAAGGAGAACAATGTCAGGCACTAACTCACTTATACCCAGATTATGCAGAATTTTGAATGGCTGCAGTGATTTGATTGATTTACACCATGATAGCATTAGTAAGTTTTATAAGTGCATCATCAACCAGTTCACACAAAAAAATGAATGACTGCATTGTATTGTTGACCGAGCTGTAATGTTATTCTTTATCAAAACAAATAATAACCTTATCTGGTTATAGCACTCTTTTGTTATAGTGTGAGTTTGATTCAGAATTAACAAATTTTTATTATAATCTTGATTTTAATTTTGATTTTTGTCTCAAGTTGAATTTGTGAAATTTCTATTTATTTTATTATATGTTTTTATTTATTTATATGACACACAATACAACTATTACAATTTTTATTTTATTTAATCCTAATTTGTTACATAATTTAAACTTTTTAAATGTTTTAATGCATAATATTATTGGTGTAGTACTCACTGGAATAACTCAAGTACAATCACTTTGAATGAATTGTAAATTATTTTATTGAACTTCATCTGAATTGTTATTTTAATATTTTCTTTCCTTACAAAAAAACGGAATTAATTTAATTTAATTTAATTGCTAATTAATTAATGGTTGTTTTGTTGTTATGCTTGTTTTTAATCATGTTAAATTAATAATTTACCTATATCCTATTTATTTTAAACTTGTAAAACCGTTACTTTAAGTGCATGTGGTGTTAGCCTGTAAGTGATTATTGCACTCACATATGTTTAGTCTTTAAGTCAATTCTGTAATGTTTAGTGTAATAATCGTTGGCTGACCAAATAAATAAATAATAAATAAACATGTTGACGTAATTCCATTGTGACGTTAGTTCATCGGTCTTTGGTTGATTCGAGTTTTAAGATACAGTTTACGGCCTTCGGTTTAAGAACATAACTTCGTCTTTGAGTCGTCTTCGTGAGCGACAATCACAGCCATTAAGATCCAGCCATTGCCATTGTTTGAAATTGTGGAATATTGTATGTTCTTTTAAATTTATTTCAGGATTATGTACAGAACTTGGCACCCAGTAAGATCTCAATTCTTTTGTCGAATGTTGAACTTGGCTTCCAAGTTCACACGAATACTTTTTATTGTATTATATAATCCGTGTGGTGACGGATTAAGAATACGTAATGTCACAATCCCTATTCAACCCGTGGGTGTTGTAAACGTCGACTAAGGGAGAAAACTACGCAAGACAACAGCACTGCAAAGAGAAAGAAAACTTGAAACAAACCCTATATAAAACCCGTCTGTCCAGCGTGGTATAATAGGCCAAAACCTCCTTTCTAAGGAGAAGCCTATGTCCAGCAGTGGACTATCATAGGCTGTTGATGATTGGATTATATATTATATTAAGGCAGTTTCATATATGTAATGTGTATCTATGTGGTATATCACTGGTGGTATATATATCATTTGAGTGATCATGAAAGCGGCGCCAGCTCCTGGTCTAGTTGGGGTACTCTTATCGACTGTAACGCTGAAGTGCGGCACGGGGTTGCGCGGCGTGAGGGTTTGTAGCCGCGCGGCGCGGAGGGGGTGTAGGGGTTTGATGTGACGTCACACCCACGTATATAATGCACAGCATTCACCGAGGGTGCCCAAGCTCGGCGCACGCCGCCGTCGCCCAACGCGCAGCCCGACGAGACGAGTACCTCGATAAAGTGGCAAAATACGGCAACCAACGTCACACCCTGTGGGTGACAAAATATTGATACCAATCGCGGTGACACTAGCTAAGCTAATTTTGCATGGATACCTTTCCTGTTCCATTTCTATATCTATGACTTTTCAGACAAGGCCATCTTTTTATTAAAGTACAATAATATATACTTCTATCTGTTCTAATAATGTCTAAAATCTTTTTTTTTTTATTTTGCCTTTCCTAAGTCAGTTTATTTAAACATATTATGAATTCTTATAATCCATCTGTTCATCGGTTTCCATTTTAAAAGTTAACGTAATTACGTATTGTATAGCAAATACAGGATTGTGATAATTGGCTCCCATGCAAATGAAGCTTATTTATGTGGAAAGACTCCTGAGGTCGCCCTTTTCTAGTACTGACTAGAAAAGGGCGACCTCAGGAGTCTTTCCAAAATATGCTAAAGTTTCTAAAATATGCTTCTTTTTAAGAGTCGTTTACATTACAATAGTTACTGAAGAAAGAATTAGGTCTGATTGACTAAGTTCTCAAACGATGCCCTCTTTACAAAGTATACGTCAGGGGTATCAGGAGATCGTTAGGGAAAATGGCAATAAATTTTATTTGCAGCTAAGATGCTTCGTTTAATTGACTGTCTGAAGTTATTCTGGACAAAATAAAGCACAGCGATCTATATGGAATCAGTCTGCTGAAAAGTCGTTTTTTCTTTAGTTCATGGGAAAACTGGGTTACCGTATCTAAGTTATAACAAACCTTTTTTATAATTGCATTTTCCTTAATGGACACTCCTTTAAAACGATGAAATGAATATGATTTAGAACGATACTCGATACTCTTTTACAGATGTTAAAATTAGTGAGTATAGGCTTGTAAATGTAAAAGAATGCGTCCCGTAGCTGTGACCCGAATTACTAAACTTACAAGTACGGTGGTGCGGGCGGGCGAGTCCCGTGACAGGCACAGCCCGTATGTTTGGTGGAGGTTCTTGTTAAGTACTTCGCCGAAGTTAAAAGGTCGCAGGAGCGCGGTGAACCTGCCCTGGGTGTCATGATCTGCGTCTTTGGCTATACACATTATATGTAACTTCTTAGGTTCAACTTTGAACTTTAAACTGGGTGGTGGAGGAGGTACATTACAGAAATTCTTAAGGTACGAATTTGGTGAATAGACAAAAGTATTTATATTAAGGTAACTCGTTCAAAGGAAAGCGAGTCAATATTGTAATGCGTATTGTAGCCTCTCACACTTTCATACTATTCATTCCGATATCCTTCAGCGAAGTCCTTGTGCTCACTATTTATTGTTAGCCATAACTAATAGTGTTGAAGTAAATGTGGGTTTGTTTATTACATTTTTACTCTCCCCCGCACAGATATTACAAGAGGTGTAGGAAACACAGAGAGGACTTGAATGAAATAATTTGATCTACATTGACTTACATACCTGTAACTAGGTAGGCTAACCGGTGAGATGACGAAGTATTTGTTTGATTTATTAAAGAAAAAATAAACTACCATTCGCTTTTCAAATTCAGGAGTTACAAGTGATGTGATTACAACAAATACCGTCTTATTATAAAACGTGGACTTAAAAAAGTACCGGCTTTAGTACTAGGTTTAAACCATGACCTTGAATAAACGTTATTACAAAACGAAGTTTATCGCTAGTCCTAGAACTATCTATGGTATCAAAGTTAGACCATCGTGACCCCTAGTTTAACTATGGTACTAAATTGTCAAACGTCAAATTCTTAATTTTGAGGTTCGCTTTCGGAAAGGAATTTGTGATCAGAAACCAAAAAATGGATATTGATGCAATTGATATGTTTGATTTGGAAGATTTGAATGTGTTGGATATACTAGAATATCGGATATCGTAGCTCGGTGGCGTGGCAGTGTCCATGATTCTAGAATCTTTAGGGAGTGTCGCTTGAAGCAAAGATTTGAATCTGGAGCGTTTTCTGGCATCCTCTTAGGAGACTGTGGATATCCGTGTACACCATACTTGTTTACCCCACTGCTGAACCCAAGAACAGAAGCAGAACACATACACGGAACACTGTGGAAAGATGCTTTGGTCTGTGGAAACAACGTTTCCGCTGCCTACTAAGATGCCTATTTCCTGATAATGTCAACAATGAGCAATCCTCTAGGGATTCAATACCAGTGCAGCCAGTTCAAAATTCACTACGAGGGAATATTAGAAGAAGGCAGTTTATTGAAACTCACTTGTCATAAAATAACATTTATTATATATAACTATATTTCTTTTTTGTGATATTCATGTATGTATATGTTTAATACATGTATTATATAAATGCTAAAATAAAAGCTAATGATCCTTTTTTCATAAAGTAAATCAAACATAAATAAAAGTAACTATTATCTTTAAGAAAATGCTAAAATCAGTCCTATAATACTAATGATTATTATGGGGAATATATAACCTGAAAATAATTATGTTATATTATTATGTGATTGTCAATATATTTGAAGTATTTAATCAATAGGAGATAGATTACATTAGTTATTTATTTGAAACTCTTGACTGAACAATTTATACTTATTTAACTTATTTATTTATTCATATAGGACAACTTACAAAACATACAATAATACATAATTTACAAACATGTTTTACAAATATTTTCTGAGTGTTGTCTTACTTACAAGTTGCCACGGCATGGTAAGGGACAGTTGCATCTATTCCTTAGTAATGGTGTTAGTTTTTATCTGAGTCTCCAATAGTGCTATTTGTAACTGTAGCTTTTTAATTTTGATATTTCAACCTGATAGAAGTGCTGGGCTTCCAACATATCAAGCTGTTTTTTTTTAAATTCTGTATTACTATTTATAATACCTTGGCGCCCTTCTTCATTTCTGTAAAATAAATTCTATATTATTATGTAATAATTTGACTTATTATTTTAGTGTGGTAAGCTTTATTTATATTTTCGTGGTTCCTTGATTGAAATAAAATATATTCAGTATTATCACATTTATTTTAACAAACCTATTTAGGGAGGCGGTTTTCCCTTTTGGTTTATTTTCTTCTATTTCTACACTACTTTTTGTTTGCACAGTTTCACTGGTGTAGATCACTGAAAATAATAAATAATATTAATGAAACTAACCTGTATTTTTCTTATTATGAAATTATTATACCTTGTTTTTCTTCAATACTGGACTCTACATTTTCATCACTTATAATCACTACAATTGGTTCTATTGAGCTATGGCCAGCATCAGGGTCTTCAACTGTTTGTTGTTGTTATATTTGTCATCTGTAACAGGTAAATGTTTAGTAAATTGTCATCATATTATACTCTCCACTATTGTTAACTTTTACTTACCACTGCATCACTGTCACAGTCACACGTCTACAACAAAGTCATGAGGAGCAATAGCCATGACTTCCAGGTCCTCTGGAGAAGGTGACGGGGGCTTGTTGCCACCTCCTGCTTTAGACTGCTCTCTCCTGTGAAGAGACAAGTTTGCCTTGGCTGCCAACTTCATTCTCTTCCAAGCCAACTTTATCTCTTCTACAGAACGATTTTTTCCGGCGATTTGCTCACCACAAAGAATACTGTGCCCTTAGGTACTTGTAGTAACTATAATCTTGAAGTGAAACCACAGTGAGGACATTTTTTTAGTTTAAGTTGTAACATAAACATTTCGATTACATTACTCGAATTACGCGCGCCGTCCAGTTCACTCCGTTATACTCATAAGTGCTAGCTCGGTAGTTGTTCCAAAACATAACATTAATAATTGGATTGTGAACATGCATTCAAAAAATACAAGTCGGAATATTTAAATACCTTTAAATAACAAAACTTTAAATTTTACCCCTACAAATAACAATTCATAAAATATTTTTCTTTATATTTCGTAACAACATTTTGTTAAAAAGGAAAGGCACGTAGAACGCTGAACGAATGAATGAATAATTTAAATATTTTGTTGCTTATAATCTGTGGAAAATGTTTAGTCCAGAGACGATCTTTGGTACTAAGTAGTCCTTTGTTGGTCTACGATTTGTAATAAGAATGAAAGAACTAACGTTAGTACCGTAATAAGCTTAGACCTTTTAGTCCTGGTTTAAACCTGGTACTTATGAAAGTTTTTATAATAAGACGGATATAGTTTAAATAATTCTAATGTGATTAAAAAAAAAATATTGCTTACTTACAGCGAATTTTTTTATTTGTTAATTGGATCCACGGTTCTATGTAATAGACCAAGGACATCAACAATAGCTAATGCATTAGCCGAAAGTGCTGAGTCTGTGGGAGACACACACACAAATAATACTTGTTTGTGTCTTTTTAATTTATTTGTTTAGTCAAAAAGTGCGATTAGATTATTCGATGATAACAGGGCTTGCCACACAGTCCAGAAAATGTTCTTCAACAGAACAATTTCCTAATACTTTAAAAAATTGTTATTCATCATTATAAACGCGTAAAAGGTATTGAGGTAAGTCTGTCATCGCATCACCAATTCAGTTTGATTAGACAGATAGAACAATGTGAAAAGTTCATTTCGTTAAAATATTTTTCAGCTGCTGCAAACGTCAATAGAAGCGTAAGCCCAAAATCCGATTAAATGTTCGCTTTGATCCCGTCGATATAACTGTTGTTCAATCAATCGATGTCTGATATTACGTTCTATTGACCGAACATACGATACAGAAATATTTTTAATTTTTGTCTCCAGAATAAGCCCCATATGTACATGCTACTTATCAGAGTCAGTGAAGCGATGCAAGTGTCCCAAAGCTTCTTTCCCTGGAAGAAATGATGCTACATCCAGTTAATCTTACGAGGGTTATACGAGTTTCTGAATTGTAACAGCGATTATTTCCATAGATTTTAGGTGAAATAATGATTTTTTTTATATTAGAGGGGGCAGACGAGCAGACGGGTCACCTGATGGAAAGTGACTATCGCCGCCGATGAACGTCTGCGACTCAGGAGTCATAAACGCGTTGACAGCCATTTCGGAAGGAGTACGCTCTTTTCTTGAAGGTCGTATCGGTCCGGAAATACCGCAGACGATAACTTGTTCTACAGATTGGTTGTGCGATGCTAAAAGTGTCTGAAAAGCGCACAGTACTGGAGCACCAATGTTTCAGGAGATGGGGATGAAAATGTATTGGGATGAAATAAACCAACAAAGCTTTTGCTATGTCAATGGAAGTTGATGGCTTTATAACTTGTTCTCAATGTTTTTAACCTACAATTTAATTTAATTTTTTCTACAACTTACACTTATGATTAAGTATTACTTACAACAACTGAATTGACTTCATGTCCTTAGTTTTTTCAGCTCAATTCTTAATCAATTAATAGTATTGACATCAGACTACATATGTGTATGTACGTACTAAGTTGCAAGTTAGGCGCGATCAACGATCTGTTTACATGTGTTGCTGGTTAGTTATTAAAAGCAAAGCTAATGAAACTTTTGATAGCTTTATCCTTCAAACAACTTCAAACTCAAAGCGCCTCCACGATACGGTGGACCTGAACAGATGAACTGACTAGACCTAGATATTTTGAGGTCATTACATTTTTCTTCCACATTACAATGTGAATTAAAATTGTATCAACTCTTTTATTATGACTGTGCAACTGTTGTATACAACAAATTTAATTCAATTAAACGTATAGGCACAATTACAACTCTATATATATATATTACGTATGTCAGTGCAACAAAAACTTTAAACATATTCATGTTAGCAGATGCTGCCCTCATATTTATTTCTCCCTCTCCTTACAGTGGAGGTTTTGGCCTACTATACCACGCTGGCCAGACGGATTGGTATAGGGTTTGTTTCAAGTTTTCCTTCTTTTTGCAGTGCTGTTTTCCTGCAAAGTTTGCTCCCTTCGTCGGCTCTTACGACACCCACGGGACGAATAGTATTCCTCTGTATTAGTAGTATAACTCTCTCTTCTCTCTCTTTCTTAATCTTATCTTATTTAAATATACTTTTCTTACAGTCGAAGCACTCTGACCAATTATGAATGCTTGGGAGAGTTTCATGTCGTTTGTGGTCAACGTCTAGTGATGGCGTGCCCGGCTTTTCGCCTCATATTTATGTATTGTTTGCATGCCGATGCCGTATTGCTTTCGAGTGACATGTAAAATCTTTCCTCTCGCTAGTAGGAAGCTGGGGAAGAACGCGTATCGCGTTAATTGGTCATTTCATGGTCAAGTCCAATGTCCGCGGTGCTTCAAGTCAAATGTTACACATCATAATTACGACTACTGTAAGAATTGGTCCATAATTTAAAAGGTCAAGGTTACACAGGGTCGCGATGCGTGGCGTAAAGTGAAAGGGCGTATATAAGGAAACGCTGTAACCGTTAAAAGTGATTTAATGAATTTAAATTGGTAATACGTGATTTAGTAGTAAAATTTTCCTCTGGTGTTAAGAGTATCTGATCACAAAACATTTCAATCAAATAACACCATTATTATTTATATATCGTAAACATTACTCGAGAGTCAAAACAATCAAATGACAATAAAAGTGTTACGTAATTCAGTTCTCACATGAAAGTTTCCGGTTGCATGTTTGCGATAATAAATATAATGAAGGCGTGTTTGTGAGCGGTAACGGACGCGTTCATAACAGGAACCATAAAGTTAATTCGTTTCCGCGACGTGGGCCGGTGGCGAGCGACGCGCTCTTATTGCTCTGTTACGTGCTCCGGTGCTGTTTCACTAAACTGTACAACGTGCTCTGTCCCTCACCAACCCTTATCTATCGCCCCTTTATATCGTTGAGGGTGCAAGATTACTAGATTTATTACTGACACCTGTTTGGGCAATGGCATTTCAATATTTCAATACGTGATTGAGATTTGGTACATTGAGATCACATTTTTTTAATGGTTGTGGATGCTTCAGGAAGCGATTTATAAAATTTCAAATAGGAATTCTATTGATCTCCTGCTGTTTTAGCTTTAATAATTTAAACTAAGGAAAAATTTAACTGTCTCAACTATGTCTCGCGCTCACACAAGAGCGTAAGAGATTCATAAAGTATAGCATTTGTAAGTACATTTTTTTGTGAATTAATAGTTTTATTGTAACATTTTCATACTAGCTTCAACATACAATGACAATTCGAGTCGTACTATAGAATTGCTGAGTTAAGATATTTGTAAGATCTAAAGGTCTTACTTTAACATATAAGATCAGAAGGAAGAAGCCTCGTTATAGAAGATATTAAAATAGAAAACACGCTTGAAGAAAGAAGAAGATATTATAAGAGCATCAGAAGAAGATAGAAAAGAACATATTATTGAAGAACCATGGGCAACGAGCAGTCATATCCGGACGAGAATGTCGTAGCCCAATCTGCTACTGGGAGTTTGATAGGCTCGAAAACACAACTGACGGAAACACAATTGGCAGAAACTCTCATCGTTGTCGTACTCCTGCTGAAACAGCCTATTTTGTGTACCATTGTCACAAGAAGTGCTGCAAGAATATTGCCCAGGGTTTCAGAACAGAAGCAAATCGTGCAGTACTGTTGAGTGCTACATCTACTATAATTGGCCTCTCCCATTGCACGCCACTTAGATCTATTTTGGGCTCCTACCACCTATCTTGCGCATATCGTCACTCCACCTGGCCTGTGGGCGTCCTATACTACGTCGGCCGAGACGCGGTCTCCAATTAAGAACTCGTTTTCCCCAACGGTTGTCGATTCTGCGGCTAATATGGCTAGCCCACTGCCACTGTAGCTTGCTGATCCGGTAGGCTACATCTAATCTACGACAACGAAATACGCCTTTTTTAAGTATCATTATACTATATGTAAAAAGCACTTCTTGGGAAAGAAACGCTATAGGAATATGATTTAAACTATAGTAAAAGACAAGCACTTCAACAGTTAATATTAGTTTCAAAGTTTTCATAAAGACTAGATTGTGACCACTACTTCGCTCGCATTTATTCGGGAAAAAAATATTCCTATGTTTTTGTCTCTTAACAATGTGTATTTAAAACATCGTAATGCTGCTTAAGAAGTTGAAGACAAAGCGTTACAAAAAAACTAACAAGAAGCAAACAAATAAAGTGATACTCGCATTTATAATATTAGTTAGGATAAAAGCAGTGTCCGAATAAATAACCCCTGAGAGTCTCGCGGGCGCTCTGCGCTCTGTGCTCGTGCTCGTGGCTCGTGGCGATGTTTCCAAGTTCACAACTCTTCTACACAATAATTGTGACGAGCCCCCTGGGAACGGCGCGAGTTCGTGTGCCAACACTTTTAAACTTAATTTAGCACTCCACTCTTACTTTCACATCGTCCACTGAATAAGAGATGAGTTGAAAACGAGAGAGGTTACATTATGCTTTAGCGAGCACGTCTCATGTACACATTTAGGTATTGAATAAAACTCCCATAATTCTAAACACGTGGCGCTGGCCACAGTAGCGGCCTCTACAATATGTATATTCGCTGTTGCCTTTAGAATAACAATCGTGCTATGACTCTACAATGTTTATTTCACAAATTTACTGAGATATTTTTATCGTCGTTCGTAAAATAAATCTTTGATCAAAATACGCTCTCATGTATATATTTATTTGCCAATTACAGAGCAATCTATTTTACCTTAGCTTTTAAGGTTTTATCAAGAACTATAAATGCTAATTTTGTTTGTGTTTTCAGTCATTTAACTTTTTTTACATTTATTGTTCCTTTGAGTATAATTCAGTAATTCGAAACTGAGACTATTGTCTCAGTTTTACATTTTAGTCATATTACAAACACATATATCAGCATTATTGTATACACAATTTTCAATTCCTTCTCAAGGGGACTTGTTACTAAAGTGACGTAAATTACGATATAAATTGTAGCCTAAGAAAGGTCAAAAGTTCCAGGGCACTAGCATACAATTTGCCTACAACTCCTCTGGAAGGCCTTTAAAGGCCGGCAACGCGTTGATGACTCCTGAGTTACAAACTTTCATGGGCGGCGATGGTCACTTTCCATCAGGTGACCCGACTACTCGTCTGCCCCCTTTAACATAAAAAAAAACTATTGTAGGCGACTAGGTTTCATTGTTATACGGTTAGTGTGATAATTAGGCTGGCGATAGAAGGTCAAGAAATAACTTATAACGAATCTAATACATGTGAATTAAAACTAATAAATACACAGCCGCGGGCTCATCCAACCGTTCTTCACATGTTCGGTGATTTATTGTTCAAACATCTCCCGTAGTCGCCTGTGTGAACTTCTTTCTGTGAATAAACATATCACTCCTATGATCACCGGCTCTTAGTTGTTTACTTGCCAAGCCCTCGCACTGTCGTAATGTTGAAAAGAACATACTCCTAGCAGTCGAATCTACTACACGCAATAATTATGTGTCTAATGTGTAGAACTGCTACGAAATTATCGTGGATTATCTACGAAAGCGTAGAGTATCTACGCGTTCCTCTACGATGGTGATGGCCGGACCGTAGCTGGCAGAATGCTTTCGAATGTATTTTTAAAAAAGGAAAAAGGTATGTACACTCACATTTATTCCCACATTTTTCAAGCGATAATGTTAGCCCTGTAATGTAACTTGCAACTCAAATAGGCTATTGCCTGCAAGTTCAAGTCAAAGAATATTATTTCGCTTTTGACACCGAAATGATAACTTCAAATTGATGAAAACTTGAACTCTTGAACTCTTAGAACTTGGAGACTTGAAAACTTGAAATTTTACCAGAACTTATTGGTGCGTCAAACTTATCTGAAGAGATGAAGAGTTAATTTAGCTAAGTCATACAAACATACGTATTTTAAAATACTGAAAAGTTTAGTTTATATATAGTTGAGTTGGTTACTGGTACTGGTGGCTGACAGTGGACGTTACAGTTTTAACATTTGAATGACAGATACATGTGTGCATATGTACAAATAATGAGGTGTGTGTGTGGAACGTAAATCATCGCCGGTTTGTTTGTTAGAATACAATCAAATGGAATCAACTTTTTTGTTTGCGCGTGAAGCAATCTGCGCGCACCGTCAGTAGGGAAATCTGTGGAAAGCGGCGTGAGCCAAGCAGAAGGGGGAGGTGCGGGGCGATCAGGGCTAAAGGAGAGCGTATATAAATCATACCCGCGGTCGTAAATTATCGCGTACGGTTTCTGATACTACCTACCTTCGTACTTCAACCTGCTCCTAATTGCAGACTTTAATTCAGTTCGAGTGGAAATCCTTGCGGCCGATGTAGAAATGAGAGACGTTTTTTGTGACTCCCTAAAGTCAATTAACGTCAACAAGATGCGGCTCCGGCGGCGAACATCTCCACTACAGCCATTAATTCACTTTAGTGTAAAAGTTTGTGTCTCATAGCGCTGTTACTATTTCTTACCGTTTTTGTAACAAATAATACGGCGTTACCTCGCGAGGCCCCCGGGGAGAAGCAAAGGTTGTATTTCGACGAGGATTATTTTGTGACTTTTGTTTAGTAATCACGTTAACTGAACCTTGAGTTTGAGAGCCTCATTTATAACTTTCAGTCAATCAAGTTCTAGAGTAAAGTAAGTATATTAAAGTAAGTACAGTAAGTATATTATTATATGATATAAAATAGCTGACCCGGCAAACGTCGTTTTGCCATATACATTATTTCTAGGAAATATTAAAAAAAAAAATAGGGGTCACCCTTGTCATTTAGGGGTATGAAAAATGGATGTTGACCGATTCTCAGACCTACCCGATGTGCACACAAAATTTCATAAAAATCGGTCCAGCCGTTTCGGAGGAGTATGGTAACTAACATCGTGATAATAATACACAGATAATAATTATGTAATATGTATACATGTAAAACATATATATGCGGATGCAACGCAACAGACCTCTACGACAAGGTTATTTTGACTGTTTTTAATTTTATGACTAGATTTTATTTCACTTTTGATATTCCTACGTACGTAAAGACAATTAACATGACTCTGACAATGGTCCAAAGTGAGAATCTGTTCGATTCAACCGTCTTTAGTGTAACTTTTAGTTTTTCTAGTTTCTATCGTGTTGTTTTATCAACTTATTATATCAAATTATCAGAATCATTGTTGCTTTCAATAAATAAGTTTTTTTTTTATTATCTATATCCGCCCCATATGTGCCCTGACATGACTCTCCTATGGTAAACTTTCTTTATAAGATATATAGCGTCTCCTGCAATAGACTCACTTGTGACGGAACAATTTGTGTTAGTGGTTGCTTCGAGACCAATATGCAACGGCTCGGGTAAGGTGATGATCCGTTTCCTCGTGACAAAAACAAACATATCTAAACAGATGACAGTATATGCTATCACTTATGTTAAGTTATAGGTAAGTAGACTTACATCATACCTCACTGTTAAATTATTTCATTAGCAAGAGCGAGTCAACGAACACCAGCTATCGCAAGCTCAAGAAATGTTTCTCGCCTGTCTACGTCATACGCGGTGTCAACTTCACAGTAAGTAGAACTAAATTTGTAACAAATATCTAGAGTTTTTGTTTGTATGTGTCAAGACATTCCGTTGAGAAGGTACAATGGTATTATTGTATTAGTACTGTCTCTTTTGTTAAGAATTTACTATACAACGAAACCGTAGTGCGTAGCGACCCTTCAAACATAATATAGGCAGATCCCAGTTCCTCTAACAATGGACACTGTACAAGATACAATGTGCCCATTTTTTCATATAACAATATTGTTAGCTCGATAACTTACTTATTATATCCAATATATATTTCATATTTCTTTAATAAGACAAGATAAATAGATAATACAGTATTTTAAGACTGGGCCGTAGACAGGGAACCGCTCGAGGAATGAGGTCACCCTGCAAAGGGTGTTGTATTTATTTTGAGTTTTCGTTTATGTTTCTAGAACGGTCACTGTACTCGTACTAATTGATTTCTGTATATATATATATCTATATATATATATATATATATATATATATATATATATATATATATATATATATATATATATATATATATATATATATATATTATTGTATAAAATAGGTCGACTTGTAAAGGTTTGGAATCGTAACGAACTTTGGTTAACGTTACTTTGTTTTTAGAACGCTTACGTAACGTACGTTTCTCCACCCTCTCTGCTACAATAAAGCTACTTCTATGCTACTTCTATTTTATTAGTACTATCAATTGATGAAAAATAATTCCTTTACGATAACGAGATACGTCATTCACATAATATTTCTGGTGGCGATTTATTTCTTAATTTTGTCATAAGAATTTTAATCAGCCATATGGCCTCCTGATATTAACATAGATAACAACTGAATTCCTTAGTCCACTGTCCTTAGTCTATAGATTGTAGGAGCTCTCATTTAATTATAGTACTGTTCTTCGTCTTCTTTTATTTTATGTGCTAGTGTATAACTTCAACTGTCATTGTATATACTGCTGTGATATAACAGGTCGACATACATACCTACATAAACATCCTAGACCTAAAAAAAGGTTCCTCACATATTAAGACATGGGTAACGGTAAC